TATATATATATATATGAAGGTTGATATTTTTTGGTAAACTAGACTGTGAAATTAGGAAAGATATGTAATAGAGGCAGACCATCGAAAATATAATGTACAGGCTTTTGGCAAAACTTGATGTCCTGTTCAAATCCGAGTTAGATTATATTCATATTCGAGTTCGGTTGGTTATCAAATTTACTTTGTGTTTCGTATTCGATTTTATTAAGATAATTGAACATACTCGATCTGAAATTTATTTTTCAAAAATTAGTTATATAAAATTAACTTTTTAGTATAATATATACTTTTAAACTAGTACGTGGCACATAGGCTGCACGAGACAATAATGATAAATCGTATATATTAAAGCCATGAAGAATATTGATTTGTATAAAAGTAGTTTTAAATATTAATATTAATTTTTTATGTTATTTTTATGATGCACAATAGTTAAATGTTTATTTAGCACATTATAAAATATTTGTTTTTAGAGTTCTTGTTTAGATTTAATGAACATGAAAATTTGATATATTCAAATATTATTAGTAAATAATATTAACAAAAGTACCTCTCTCTCTCTCTCTCTCTCTCTCTCCCCCTCTCTCTCTCTCTCTCTCTCTCCCCGTTGTTCCTTACTACAGTATAATATTTCGATTACTAAATAAGTGCTGGTAAAGTTAAAAAATTGTGGCGAGTATTATAGCCGACACTTAATTTTTTTTATTTTTTTTTGGTACATTAACCGACACTTAATTTAGAAATAACATTGTGTATATTATTTTAATGTTATAAAATTTACCAGTTTTTAGTTACGTCAAAATTCTGAAAATATTTTTTATTATTTATAATAATATATATTATTATTAATTTTAATTTTCTTTTTAATATAATAATTCATATGACAATTCAACATCAGATGATAGATCACTATAATTTATAGCAATATACACTATAGATATTTTAATATTTTTTTAAGCTATCAATTTACACTAGCCGAAGCTACAGCCAAAAAGAGACGAACCGTGACCATCTTTGCCACGGGGGCAAAAGTCTCCTGATAGTCAATCCCTTCAACCTGTCTATTTCCCAAAACAACCAAGCGCGCTTTATAGCGCTCAATAGATCCATCAGAATGATACTTAATTTTATAAATCCACTTACATCCAATGGCATGTTTTCCAGAAGGAAGAGGTACAACATCCCAGGTATGATTATTCTCCAAAGCTTGAATTTCATGTTGCATGGCCGAGCGCCAATGATTATCACGAACCGCCTCAGCGAAAGACTGAGGTTCAACAGCGGAAGTCACAGCTGCCAAGAAAGACTTATGACCGGGTGAAAACGAATCACAAGAAATATAATGTGCAATAGGATAAGGAGTACCTGAGGATGGCGAGGAGTCGGGGAAGACAGTCGAGGGGGACGAGGGAGAGACTGTATGAGATACAAAATCAGTGAGGCGAGAAGAGGGGCGCTTAGCCCGACGACCCCGACCTAGTAATTCCTCCTGGGGAGGCGCTAGTAATTCCTCCTGGGGAGGCGCAGGAGGCCCACCCCCCTATCGTCAACACTGCTAGGCGTCCCAAATTCAGAAGGACCAGTATGTAGCACAGTATCATCGACATCATCACACGGTGCGGGCCAAAAATTAGTAGAAACCGGTGAAGTGGTAGGCACAGAAGGCATCATGTAAGGAAATTCTGATTTACAAAATTCAACATCACGAGAGACAAAGAAAGTACAACTATCCAAGTCGTACACACACCATCCCTTTTGTCCAGCAGGATAACCAACAAATACGCATTTACGACTTCTACTTGCAAATTTGTCACCATTTGTGCCTTGATTATGCGCATAGCAGAGGCATCCAAAACTCGTAAATGTGTAAACACAGGAGACTTTCCATACAACATCTCGTAAGGAGATTTGCCGGACAAAACTGAAGTAGGCGTGCGATTAATTAAATACCCAGCTGCAAGAACACAATGACCCCAAAATTCAAGAGGCAAATGAGCTTGAAAACGTAAGGCACGAGCAACATTGAGAAGGAAGCTGATGATTCTGCTCCATAGGAAAGTCGACTGGCTTGCAGCCAAGTAAGCCGGTCTCGGCAACGATGTCAAGAGTGTATTTTCTCTGGCATAGGAAAATACCCGAGTTGTTCCGAGCAACCTCAATGCCCAAAAAATACTTCAGGACTCCCAAATCTTTCATATGAAAACAGCGACTCAGGTACTCTTTAAAAACAGCAATGGCAGCAGGATCGCTCCCAGAAATGATGAGATCATCAACATAAACCAAGACATGTAAATGCACGGAATCTCGATGTAAAGTAAACAGAGAATAATCAGAATAAGACTGTGCAAAGCCATACTGCTTAAGAGCATCAGTAAGCTTGGCGAACCAACACCGAGGAGCTTGCTTCAAACCATACAAAGAACGGCGCAATCGACAGACCTCACCATCCTGAGGAGAATGAAAACCAGGAGGAAGCTTCATATATACTTCCTCAGTCAAGTCACCGTGTAAAAAGGCATTATGAACATCCATCTGATGGACCTCCCAGTGTCGAGCCGAAGCTACAGCCAAAAGGAGACGAACCGTGACCATCTTTGCCACGGGGGCAAAAGTCTCCTGATAGTCAATCCCTTCAACCTGTCTATTTCTCAAAACAACCAAGCGCGCTTTATAGCGCTCAATAGATCCATCAGAATGATACTTAATTTTATAAATCCACTTACATCCAATGGCATGTTTTCCAGAAGGAAGAGGTACAACATCCCAGGTATGATTATTCTCCAAAGCTTGAATTTCATGTTGCATGGCCGAGCGCCAATGATTATCACAAACCGCCTCAGCGAAAGACTGAGGTTCAACAGCGGAAGTCACAGCTGCCAAGAAAGACTTATCACCAGGTGAAAACGAATCACAAGAAATATAATGTGCAATAGGATAAGGAGTACCTGAGGATGACGAGGAGTCGGGGAAGACAGTCGAGGGGGACGAGGGAGAGACTGTATGAGATACAAAATCAGTGAGGCGAGAAGAGGGGCGCTTAGCCCGACGACCCCGACCTAGTAATTCCTCCTGGGGAGGCGGTAGTAATTCCTCCTGGGGAGGCGCAGGAGGCCCACCCCCCTATCGTCAACACTGCTAGGCGTCCCAAATTCAGAAGGACCAGCATGTAGCACAGTATCATCGACATCATCACACGGTGCGGGCCAAAAATTAGTAGAAACCGGTGAAGTGGTAGGCACAGAAGGCATCATGTAAGGAAATTCTGATTCACAAAATTCAACATCACGAGAGACAAAGAAAGTACAACTACTGGAAGTCGGTGGTAGTGGAAATCGGGAGAAGCCTCAATCGTCGCTTCATTCGGTGACCGACGTACCATAGTATCTCCAGGCACTTGCCGACCGTGTCTGAGCAATTCGATCCCCCGCCTGCCGTAGGATGCACGACATCATCCCGACAGCGATGTACAGATTATGGAAGGAGACGACGACGGTGTACAGATATTAAGAGGAGACGGACGGAAAGTAGGACATATGGATGTCATGAGGGTAGTTTGCCGAGGGTTGCGGTGAGTTACGACCCTGGGAGATAGAAGGTGGAGTTTGACTGGTTGGAGGAAAGGCCCACGACGTGGAGTGGTGTTGGGGGAGAGAGACGTGAGGAAGACAACTTGTTGGTGGGGGTGGGGCTGGTGGTGTGAGCCCCACTTTTTGGATGTAGAAATTTGATGGTATAATTTTGGATGATCCTACGGTTGGGTCTATAGGTACGCGACGCTCCGTCCAACACGACAGTAAGAGAATGGAATGTTCAACCAACGCTTGTCGTGACGGCGAGCGCCTCGTGAATTCATTAAACGATAGAATAAATCGATTTGATTTGTGATAAATCGGAAAACATAAAATTAAGCTTTGAATGCACATTATTGATAGATGAATTGCATATTA